AGCGTCCTCTATCACGAGCCTTTGACTTGAAAGTGTGAACCAAGACAGCTATTATCATGGGTTTATTGAGGGACATTTCTCACAGTTAGTGATACAATGGTCTAACCCACTTGGCTGATGAGGGATGACCTGGTCCGAGGACGTACAGAATAATTGTCCGTTTACCATTGTGGCCGCGCACAGGAAGTAACTTTGGACAGGCACCAGACCCTTTGGTTTTAAAAGTATTTCAACCGGTAGTTGGAAGATCGGAGTGAGCGGTTTTGGGACCGACCTTTTCCAATCCATCAGTCTATGGAGAAAGACAGCATCGTTTCCACAAACACTGATCTGCTAGTGGCCTGAAAAAACACCTTATTGCTTTCACACTTTTATCGCAGAGAGTACAACTTCACCTCGTAGTATGATAATACGATACTGCGGGACTCGTAATACGATGCCCCACAGTATGTGGACTCGATGTTCTTCGTCAGACTGTTCCCCATTGGCCTTCCGGCATGGATAGATGTCTAGGAACTGAATTCCTGCCACTATAGCCCAAAGAATTATTGCAACACTAAAACCTGACTATCACGGCAAGGCGACAACTTTAGGTTGAGGTGTTTGTTTGTGGTGTCAGGTTATGCCCAAGCCGACCTACAGTTTTGACACTCTGTTGAGATTTAGCTGGGCTCATTCGCCAAGTAAGAAGCACTGACACTCATACTTTCAAGCGATATAAATTACCAGATCGGTAATCTTAACTCTTTGGAGTCACATCTAGGAGAATGTTTGGGAGTCGATGCTCATCATCATCATCATCCATCACATCATCGACAGCATAACATCAGTGTTCAACACTGATGCTTCACTGCTGTCGATGCTCGCCGCAGAGAAACAGACAGCGAATCCTCCGTGAGATGTTTCAGGCCAGCACGAATTTTTGCTAGACGGAAACCTTGTCGATCTGGAATATGCAGACGACATCCTTCTCGTTTTCGAAGGGGAAGGGATGGTGCAGGTGTTTTCGGATGAACTGATCAAAGTTACCCCGTCCATTGGTATACACTTTTCACCCACAAAGTGTAAGGTAATGCCCCCAGATATGCCGTCACTAAACAAGTCGCTTACAATCCAGGGAGAGAGTCGAAGTTATGAGGCATCCAACGTTCTGATTGCAGTGTGACGTATGACATCACCACGGATTTTCACGGCCCGGGTTGCATTTGCAAAGTTGAGACGCCTGTGACGTCAAAGCGGCATAGCCCTGAATCTCAAGGGACGTAGGTATCAGGCTACAGTGCGCGTTGTTTGTTGTACGGCTGTGAGACTTTGTCTGTTAGAGCAGCGGAACTGAGACGAATTCAGGTGTTCGTCAATCGTTGCCTCTGAACCATAGCTCGTGTGGGTTGGTGTCAGCGAATCCGGAACACTCAGAAAGCGAGTTTTCCATTGTACAACAGGATCTTCAATTGATGAGTGTCCAATACCAAGAGCTTTGTTGATTAGACCACGTATTGCGTATGCCGAAGAGAATGCTGTTTCCCGTGTCCGATTCAGAGTGGAGGAAGCAGGGAGGTAGTTAACCCCTTGGCCTGGTAGAGGGGTATGAAAGAGATTACGTAACGTCTGGGCGGTCGGTGCCACTCGCCTACAAGGAGGGAGACCGCATGGTCCCCACTGCGCCTGGTTGGAGACGCTGCACGGTATGGCTGCTAATTGATGTCCATGGCGGCCCCGTTATCAGTTTGGATTCAGACTGTCTGAATGAGTGTCTCGAGATGTAGGCACCTCGAAGTGATTGTAGCAAGGTAGAACTAAGTCCCCTTCCTGTCCACTTTTATTCGTTTCTTCACAAGAAGGCTTCCTAATAAATCATGGGGGCGAGATGGCTCCAGTGGTTAGAGCGCGGATTTACTGACCGGAAGGTCCGTGGATCGAACCGGACCTCTGACTCTCGACTTCCCCAATCTAGGCTTGAGCAGCCTGGCAGTATCCCAGCTCTCGTGCAACCTTTGGGTGGCATGTCAATTAGACACCGAAAGGGTGCTAAAGCTGAACGATTTTTTTCCTAAAAAATCATGGGTGTACGGCAGTGAAGCATGGGTGTTGAACACGGACATCATGCTGTCCGTGATGATAACGACGAATGTCTGACACAAACGCCCGCATCGCGTAACCTGACGGCCACCAAACTCAAATCAACTGTGGACTCATCCGGATTATGTGGCTATCAGTCACTGTTGGAGAGCCACAACTCAAGACTGCTGTTCCTTTTGAAACATAACTTTATTTCGATCACTTCATAGCAGAAGTCCTCTGGAATTAGCCAAAAGCATGTCATCTTAGAACTGTCATAGATCAGAAGTGCAGATGTGAGCCAGTTCAGCTACTACCTGCAGGAGACAAATAATATACTGGCAATAAGTTAAGCTAGCGACATTGAAAGCTGTCTGTCGGGCTTCTCCTATATGATCGAAAGAACACCGTGTATTGTTGAGATCGCCAGTCCCGCTGGGAAATCTTTACCTGTAGGCAACGAACACGATTCTGCAGGAAGATATCACAAACACCAAATATGGAAGCCCAAAGAAAGACCTATGTTGGACAATGAAAGCTTAGCGGTTGGAGAAGGCGTTTGTCACCGGAAACCATTGCGCTGTACGCCGTATAATAAGATCGACTGTCCATCCCCCAGTTGTCCGGTACAGTCTTCTCCTATATGTAGGCAAATAGATCAGACAAGCACTATCTAGAGAGTTAACCCCCATTCTTGAACCATAAGGGTGGGCGATCACCCGGACCAGGAGTTCGGTTGCGTTTGAGAACATATCTAACTATAAACCTCCGATGCCGAGGGTTCCAGGTTCACCATCTGGGGTTTGACTTCAGTCCCAGAATACAAATGAGTAGCATCGGGTGTCCGCGAGAATTGTTGCTCGAAGTGCTCAGTCTAGCGACCGAGGCGTCTTTCTTTATTGAAGATGGTACCACTATTTCTGTAAGAGACCGCTTGCACGGATCAGCGGAAGCAATACTCGGGTATCGCTGGTTTTCTGCGCCTCTTTTATTTTCTTAGCCCCCCCAGGCGCACACTAAGTTTGACTTGGAGTCTGATAATTCGTCATGCTGAATTATGTTCGGAGCTGGCTGGCACATTCAAACGGTACCACTGTTCTATCTGGTATCCAGTGCTTCAGTGGGCCCGGTAGCGTCATGCCACAAGCACAAATCCCACAACCGTGCAAATATGTCGCGATTTAGTTACGGCAAGAATTCACATCTGACGATGGAAAAAGCGGAAGGCAGTCCAGAAGAGAAGTCCTATAAATTCGTATAAATTCGGGATTGGCCAAACTTTCAATTGCTAAGCCATTTATCTACCCCTTCCATGTTTGTGGAAGTAACGATGCTGTCTTCCTCCGAGGAAGGAAGGGTTAAAAAACGTTGTCCCTCAAAACCAAACATTCCGATCGCCCAACGGTTGGCCGTGACCGCCGGCACATTATTCGATACGGTCAAAATACTTTTAAAACCGGAAAGTCTGGTGATGCTCAAAACGCACATGATATGAACAGCCGCACAAGGCGTGAGATGGTATTGCCTTACTTTCTGTGCCATCAGATCAGACCAGCTCCCTGTGGTCAAGCAGGTTAGAATACTAAGTCAGCGGCTCCGGGCCGGGTCCTCAAAAACTACTTCCCACTGTCTTGCGGGTCGGAATTTTGTTCCGTATCTCAACAGTCACCTAGAAAAATAAACCAAAATAATCACCTACTAACCTCGAGAGACCTGATCCCCATTAATAAGTCTCCTCTTGTTGGCCAGCACTTAAGACTGATGACTCCGTTCGTCGCGCACCGGTTTTGTGTGCATCTGCTCGTCAAGTGGCGTCGACATTCCCAGGTATATCCGTTCTACCGGTCCCAGGAAACCATCTGTGCGCGAAATCATCAAGCATCAGAATGGAACGACCGTCTCGAGTAAAGAAGAACGCCTCGAACGGTGGGTTCAATACTTCGAACAACTACCGTGGCCAGCAGCTGGCACTCATCTAGAGCCCACAGGTAAAGTAGAACCCTGGCCTTGGAGGTTTGCGACTGTATACGTTCTCTCAAGCGCCACCAAGCCTCTGGTCCGGATGACCTCTCAATCGCATTGTTCATAGATGGGGGAGAAGTCCTCAGCCAGCGCTTGTCTGATCTGTTTGCTTGCATTTGGAAAAAGGACTCTGTCTCAGACAACTGCAGAGTCGGTGATAGAGCCCATTTCCAAAAGGGGCTCGTAGTGAGTGTGATGGCCACAGGGAATCAGCTTGAACCCGGTCGTTACGAGACTGGTGGCGTCAATTGTGCTTCGTAGCCTTACGGTGGCTCGTGCGACACTGACTCGAGAGCAGCAAGCGGGATTCCGACATGGTAGGGGCCGCGTTGACCAAATCTTCACACTCCGCCAGGTGCTACAACGACGCCATTCGTATAAGCGACCCAAAATTCTAGTATTCCTGGACTTCCATAGGCGCATCTGACACGGTTGATCGGTCTGATCTCCACCAAGGAATGCCATAGAAGTTTGTGAAAATAATACGTTCTTTGTAGTATCAGACTTCCGGACATGTAAGAATATACGGTGAGCCCTCCAAAAGCTTCCGTACAGGCAGGGATCCCTGCCTATTCCTAAGTTTAATCTGCCAGTCCAGCAAATTTATGAAAAATAACTGACGGTACGAAGCACCCTATATGAACAAAAACGTTTTAACTTATATCGTTTCTCCGAGGAAGTACAGGGGATTGCGATGAATCACTTTATCGATATGATAATTCACGTTTGATTCGCGACAATACGCGTTAAACCAATCGGTTGTAAGTTGAAGTCGAACTAGGTGTCAGGATAAATTCATGAAGGATGTGGCACATCCGTTATTTTATCATATAGATAAACCCAAGAAACACGGTTTTAAGCGATCGAAACGGAAAACTCTGTGGTGCGAGTTAGCTCGGAGAGGAAAGAAGGAAACGTACCGCGGGGTGTTTAAATCTCGCGGGATGCTGGCTGTGAGTGTCCCAGTTCAAAGTTGAATTCCGTTTGCACCGTAACTTGAAACCCAAAGGGCTCAGCTAAATTAGTGATAAGATAACTGACAGTCTTAGGCTTTTAAATCATTTGAATTTACCTAACCGACTGGGTGGGTGTTTTTGTAATGCCATATTCTGATTGGACATATTCGTAGGTGGTCAGTATATAATCGTTTGACAGGTGTGCAGGTACGCTGGGTGGTCACGGAAATGATGCAAGTGTGCTCTTCGCAGTCTGTTTCTAATGAGTGTACATCCAGCATTGAGCAACTGAATGAGTCTAAAAGTGATACGACCTCGTTGAGTTCGAGTGCGGATAACCAGGCATCCCCTGAATCTCAAAATGCGTACGAAACAATCAAGCAAGCTCAATCTGTGATCAGCTGTCTTACGGAGCGGTGTGATGAGCTGGAGCGAATGAATGATAGTATACCGATGCTTCAGAAGGAAATACGTAGCCAAATTGACCAGAGTATGCAAATGATTCAAAGAGCTTTAACGGAACGACGCGAATTTCTCCTCGGTGAACTCGATGCTGTGCTGAGCTCTCGCAACGAGACCATTACAAAGATGCGCACTGAATTCGAAACTCGCCTTCAGCGGCTCTCGTCCCATGTTGATCTTTTGAAGCGGCTTGCGCAGATGTCTCCCAGCAGCACGTCAAGTCAGAGTACACCACAAGGAAGCTCAAACCACCCAACCAGAAACATTGCTTTGTTAAAGCACAAACAAGAGATCGAAAAAATTCTACTACTACCAGTCCCACTTCACCCTTCGGAGTACGACACTATGTCATTTTTCCCAACGGAATTAGATCAGCTATTGAGCATGGTTCGCTGTGTTGGTGTTATCGGTTTAACGAGCATCGATGCGGGAAAAACGACTTTGGCGAAAGATCCGGATGAGGAGTTCTCTCCGATTCGCAGATGTCTATTGAACGAAGAGGTGCGAATAGACATTATTCCTAGGGACAGCATGGGGCGATGTATAATGAATCCAACAGCAAAGGAGTTTACAGCCACTCTTCATTCAAGGAATGATTATATTACTGAAGTGAAAATTTCTGATATAAATGATACAGAACGGACTGGAAATGCTCTGCCAAATCACCCCTCAAGAGAACAGTTGACTAACATCCCAGCAGCACTGCAAGTCACTTATCGAATTGCCACACCCGGTGCCTACGACTTAGGTATCAAATTATATGGTGAGCACATACAGGGTTCACCGTATATGATTTACGCCAGGGCTCCGTGTACCCCAGATGTGCGCTCTTGGCTGGAAACCATTCGAGAAATAAGTGAAGCACCTCGACGGCGGCACACCGTTTTGGTTTCGAGACGTCGATGTAAATCAGCACCTAGCTGTTCTGTCGCAGGTGATAAATTGAAAGCCCTTGCAGACATCAATGTAATTGGCCGAGGGGATTATCTGTTTTCAATTGGAACGAAAGGCCGTGGTGAGGGTGAATTTGCGAATCCAACCGGAATATGTGTGACGAGGGAACACAAAGTTTTAGTTGCTGATAGCAATAATGCATCCATTCAGGTAAGTTGGCTTTTGCGTTTTTCAGGTGCATGCTTTTTGGTACCCGCATCTGAAAGCTGAATCATGTAAATGGGGAGACTAAATGAAGTCAAACGATGAATGTACTTACGAGTCCTGCGAAGTTCAACTGGTCCTGTGAAGATTTTCTTCGGAAGCTGAATTCGTTGCTTTAAACCCACCAACATACTTAGATTAAATTGACCATTACCATAGAGACCTACATTACTTTTGGTACTCAGGAAGGCATTGTCCAAAGCCATTAGAAATGGTCGTACATTTGAAAACGAGCACATCTTTGTAATAAAGTCTAAGTGCTTAACCGATCAAGTGGTACGCAATTTCTTACCACATCAGATCGATTTTAGAATTCGTTTCACCCAAAGCGCAGAATTCAGGGGTTCAGTCGATTGTCACCCGGTGACTTCAATTATTTTGTTGTATTTGCCAGCATGTAACTTCGACACCCTAGGGTATGTTTGAAAGCATCCACATATTTTCAATCCATGCTTCTAAGAAGAAATTTGTAACTTTACTGCCCACTGCCTACCAGATGTGTTACCCACGGTAATGTTCATATTTCTCTAACCGTTATTTATTCGGAAGTAACAAAATGCAATTCACCTACTTGTACTGGAGGAGCTTAATGTTATCCACACTGTAACGGTCACGTTTACACCCAACGCAAAAGTTTTCTTGTTTGTGTACAAATTTCATTTATTCTTTGTTCATTTGATGTTCACCAGTTGACAAACACCATAAAATGAAAAACTTCTACTGCGTATTCAACAACAGAGACTTACTAAACCCTTTTTGTCCACCTGATTCGACTGATATGATCCATACTAATTCTACTTTAATATTCAAACGTCATTATTACCGCTGCAATTCAGGGTCTTCTTCTAACTGTGAGTGAATATTTTCAATTTCGGAATTTGCCATGAACTTGTTCTTCGTATTACATTGAAGCCAGCTTACACAGAATGCACAATGTATCCCGGGACGTGAAGATTTATTCACATGTTCTTCTTCACCAGTTTTTTTTAAATATTACTGTAAAATGTCATGAAATTCATGAAGAGCTTGTCAGCTACTTTTTCAGCTCAACCATACTCTACGATTTCTTGGTTGAATCTTTCCACTAGCTATTTTCAATTAAGCTCAGTTCAGTGTGAATAAACGTGAAGCTTAAAACTTGAGGTTTAGATTCAGTTGCAAAGATGGTTATCAGAAGTGACTTTATTGCTTTATTTCCAATGGCAACTTTGGGTTGAAAACGTTGGTTATCCAGAAATAGACCATAGTTTTTTCCTTAATAAAATAGTTGTTTTCTGTTTAGACTGGTCCGCAAAGCGAAAACACCGTAACTCCTTGAGGGAGACTACTCAACAGGTTGCTGAAAACTCTTCGACAACCCACGACTGGTATTCGTCCATCCCCGAGTTTCCGTCAATCTTGTGTTCTAATTGAACTTGATTTGTACGAAAGTTGTTTACTACTCTCATTTGCAGGCCGATTTGGTTTTACTGGGAGATTCTAGTGAATTTGCTTCAGAGAGGCTGTTCCATATTTCAGCTCTTATGATATTCTAAGTATCACGGTATGTTTTTCTGGAAGAAACTACACCTATAACTCTCAAAATTAGGGACAAACCTGATTTGTTTGTGAGGCATATTATGCTGCGATAACAAAATCAACAGCGTTGTACGTTAAAGCGAAACCAAGAAAATATCAGTTTTATTGCGCTAGTTGCCTATCTGTTTACATATCATTCAAAACTCTATGCTTTTAAGGGTCTTAAATCCCCATCTAGAAGAAAGAGTACAGCGACAGTATTTACAGAACAGCCGTTCTCATGCATTACTGAGCATTTCACGAGGAGCTTAACCAGGAAGGCATCGTAATCGTTTGGGGAACAGAGCAGTCCCACTCTGTCACAGAGGACAGAACAGTCCAGGTGTTTTTCAACTACACGTCAGTTTTGACATATGCACTAAACTTCTTACCTTCATGTAGCTATCAGTTCACTTACCACGTCAGTTAAAATGAGATACAGTTGGAGTCCTTGTTTCATGCCTAGCCTTCATAATAAGTGCGCAATCTTCAGTTGTAGTGACCATCGGAATGAAACACCACGGACGACTGTTGGGCACCATTTCAACTAAGTCATGTTTTCGGGGTAATAGCTGGAAGAACTTTCACACAGTGACTTCCTGCTCAGAGTAGAAGGCTTTTTGTTATGAAAGAAGGTGCGGTCACACGTCTGATCTACAGCGTGTGAATGGGGATGTATTTTGTAGCGGGGAATTCGTATGCCTTTTTGTTTTGCGATGCATCTAGTTAGGTGCCTGACTGATTCGACTACTTGTACGGTATGCAAAACTGTGCATTTCATCTCGGATGAGATATTTAACCTGCGGTTAATCGTTGGGAACAACGGCATTTTTCACTCTGGAAGGAGTAGCTCCTAGCCGGCATTATTCTTGTGGTTGCATCCAACGAATCAGTTGACTTTTACAATGTTCCTAATAGCATTTAGGTTGAGTTATACAATCACCAGAAACATTTTGCTCTGAGGACGCTGGCAAATGGTGATACTAATCTTATGGAACGGCAAACTGGGACTGTTGTGCACAGATCATACTGTCAAAAATAGTAGGCTCTTGCTTCGGGTTCTCAGTTAGCCGTATTTGGTGCACCTCTTTGTCCCTAAAAACACAAGGACCGTCTGAATCAACAACCTACTCAAGGATTTTGAAATTAATGTTCTTCCTGCCAGTGACGACTGTCGGCTGCTTTGATCGATCACAAAGTGCCGGTGTTTTTCGTGGCGCGTAGGGTAAAATAAAATTCGTCAAACATTTAGTCCAAAATTAAGTGTAAAATAAGCGCAAGGTTTGCTCTCCATTATTCGTTTTCATTCTCGGTTATTTTTTCTTATAAAAAAAACGTCGGTGTACCTATGCAAAATTGCTGCAAGTGTAGGACAAATTTGTTGCGCCACACCAAATTAGGTCGATCCTAAAGCAACTTATTCACGTTCATCCACACAGCTAGACGATTATGTAAACAAAGCTAATTGACCTTGTCCAATCCATTGCTGGTATCGAAATTAAGGAAGTAAGACCAAGGTATTCCAGACCAGCACACATCAATGTTTACGTAGTTGGTCAAGTTCTTAATAACTTTTCCCTTATTCTCACATATAGGTCATAGGCTGTCGGTGTCAGGTAGATGTTTTGCAGAAACCTCATCCTTGTTCACATAGGACAAGCACTGAATAATATAATGGAAAACCCCAATTTCAGGCATCCGCTGTACCAGTCACCAGTTTTCCTGTCACACTGAACAACGCTGAAGGTTTTTCGGCGTTAAATAGCTGATGGATGATCTGGCATGCGCTGAGCTGCTTGCACAACCAAATGAACTCTCCATGTTATTTGTAACCACGATGGAATAATACCGGTGGTTGAATCGGAGGGGGCAGTTATCGGGCCATCAGTGTTCATCTGCTCACCGATAACCAAATGAGACAAGAAAACAGCTGAAACCTACAATGGATGCGGGCATTGGTCCGGTGCTCCAGTAAAATATACCCGATACACTCGCACATAGCCAAGTGAATCTAGCAGATACTGGGTTTTTACGTTTTCCTCATATAAAGTCACTTGTAGAGCCACTGAAGACTTAACGTCCCTGAGAGTTCACAACTGTGAAAGGGGTCATTACTTCACAGGCTGAACTTCATCCAGCACGCTTAATCTAACAGAGGTCAAAATCGAACGGTAAAAGCTACGAACTGACACACTGTTGAAACAAAATAGACAGACTATTTGACGTCAGAGAGCAAAAAATTCTCGAATAAAACACGAGTGTACAACATGAACCAGCGGTTTTTGATTAAAACACTCCTTTTCCGATATTGTGCTTGGTAATCAATGCTGACTGCTCATGCCGGGTATAGCTAATTTAGGTTCACTGATTCACCCTGCGCCGGTGTATGTTTGTTCACATCCTTAGTCTAGGTCCCTCTGCTGCTGCTCGATTGCTGAAGCTTTCTCAAAAACATGTGTATTCCGGGTATCTGACACTTTTCTTTTGGGATTCCATCCATGGAAGGGGTGTCTGGTAAGAATGCTGTCTGGGACAGAACATGTACACTTACAAACAAGAAACCCAGATCATAGGCTCCGAAAAACTAACCACACAAGACTCCTATATGTTTGGGCCGCATTACGTTTTCACGAGGACAGTGAACAGTGTAGGTTCCCATAGGTTTAAGAAGCGACCATACAATCGCTCAGTGTATGTCCCGGCTTATTATGTTCCTTTGACTTATCAAACATGTGCCGAAAAATCATAACTTTGTGCACCAGAAACTGGAGCCTGTGGTCCATTGTACCGAGTATTTCTTTTATATTTTCTGCAGTTGAGGCCCAAACGGAGTGTTCCAGCTCCTTTTCTGTGTGCTGGTGTACAGGTCGAACGATGTGTTATTGGATTATTCCATATGCTTCCTTAAAATCGAGCTAGTGAGGTTATCCACCTTTCTGCAAAAGCGAAAGCAGAAATCTGTAGCGAAAGCTGTGCAGCATTGGCTTAGTGACCCTGTTTACAAAGATACATAGTGACAACCCTCATAACATTATTCAGGATTTCGGACGTGCCTCTCTTTCCCCTAGATTCGGGGATGGTGATATTCTGGACTGCGATTTTTATAGAGAACAAATTAAACTTATGAAAACAATGAAAATCTACTTCTCAAGACCCTTCGATAAACTACAACCAGTTTTGCCCTTTTTGGAACTCATCATCTAAGCTCATTTGCCAAGCCGCCATCAACTTTATGCTCTACTTATTCACCGGATATTACGCAGCTGGCCAAATAACTTCATTGGAAACTTCATCAGTGACTCGGCTAAGCTTATTACTAACACCAGATTAATTCGCAAATGGGGGTATTTCGCCAATCGCTCACAATTTAATAAAAGTAAAGCAAAAAC